ACTCACACACACACACACACACACACACACACACACACACACACACAGACAGGCACTGTTACTCACTCTGCTCTCTATTAAGAAGATTGAAACCCAAATATTTGCTGTCATGGTGAACTTGAGTCTCATTCAGGAATCATGGGCCATATTTACTGTGCTAATGTTTGTATAAATCTTAACAGTAATGAATAAACTGTGATTTAAAAAGAGTCTTGCAAAGGACTTTTTAAGCATGACTCATATTATGAATTTCATATATAATAATTTTAGTGATATCATGTATATAGCACTAAATTGCAAATTTAATAATTAATAATAACTTATTTTATTTCAGGTTTATTTGTCAGGGACAATGCACATGTGCCAGGACCCTAAAAATATAAAATAAATAATCTATACATAATACATACACGCTCCAAACTACATATAAATTTACGCTATACCTAATAAAAAAGAAAAACAATTCAGCATCCACTTAACAATTACGCATAATAATAACTAATTTAATAACTTATAAAATACAATAGGTTTTTAGAGATAATATAATCATTTAATCTATCAATTATATAATTTATAAACATTAATTACACATTATTTGTTGAGTTATATATCATGTTAAGTATTGTATTATCAAAAGCGTTATAAATTATGCAAATTTGCATTTAGTGCTATATATAATAGACTATGAAGTTTTATATACTATACATTTTGTTATAAAGTCTGATGTTTTTAATGGTTGCTATAAGTTAGTTTTGGAAACATAATTAGTTTGGATAATAGCAGATATCTTTCGTTTTCTTGTATTTATATGACGTTTAATGATATTTACCAAAAGTATATTTATTTTAAAATATGTGAAAATGCTCCTGGTGCACAGGAGAAATCAAGGTATCTGTATTAAATCATAAAGCATATTGTCTGGGAACAGTTATTGATCATGCTAATTGTGTCGTGCATTATTGATGGATTAAGTGTCCATGAAATGCATTTCAAATAACTTTATGGTGCTCAGAAACCTTGCACTCGACATGCTTAGAGACCCTGAGGAATAAAGTGAATCAGTGAATCATGAGGTAATAAATCCCAGCACAGTCGACAGAGAGCCAGAGTGAGAGGGGCGTAGCCCATCATTCCCGGTCGGCATGGCAACAGAACTCAAACCTGTCGGTCCTGTTCCTCCAGGTTGCCATGGCGATCAGAGAATGTTCAGGATGCGTGGCACTTCCTGCGCTCAGCTGCTCGTGTTTCTCTGGAACGGTTCACACATGCTTCAGATGGTTTATGATCGATGAATCACTTCCTCTGCGCTCAGTTTCATCAAAACACACTCCAGATGCTTGATTAAAGGGACAGTTCACCCAAAAATAAACATTCTGTCATCGTTTATTCAGCCTCAAGTTTCTGTTGAACACAAAAGAAGATATTTTGAAGAATGCTGGGAACTGGTAGCCATTGACTTCCATAGTATTTGTTTTTTTTCCATGCTGTGGAAGTCAATGGCTACCGTCAGCTGTTTGGAACAACTTGAGGGGTGAGATGTTTGAGTGAACTATTACACTATTTCTAATCACACTCTTTGTGTCATGCATAATATATAACTCAACAAACCTTTGCAATTTAAACGTCATAATATATATATATAAACATTTTCCACCACGGCAACATTTTCTGCAAATAAAGATTCATTAAAAATAAATACAGGTAAACATCTCTTATCAGCAATTTTTTTTAAATTCTAATCAAGCTGTAATTTTGTCAAAAAGTAAGCAAAAAAGTTTGAAAATATTATTTAATTATGTGTATTTAGGATGCATGTGAAAGTATCCTTAGAAAGACGAAAAAAAAAAAATTTCCCCCCAAAAGATATTAAAATGTTAAAAAACGTAAATATAAATGATATAATTTCCATCATTTTCAAATATCATTTGTGATGTTTCAGGAGAAATATATCAGAATTCCCTGTATGTGCTGTATATACACCGTTGGACACTGTAAGGGAACTAATTAAATATTAATATTTTCTGAACGTCTGCATTAAATGTGAAAAATATTAGTGTTCATTTGTTACCTGAGAACTCGTGGGGATTCTAGAATGAATGTGTCGTCATGGTTACACCTCTGTGATGTCACAGCAGACACTGGACTCAGAAGAGCAGACAGACAGATGGACAGACAGAAGAGCACTGCTGCTGATTTGATGGAGATGCAGACGGGAACAGAAACCCAGTGGACTCGGGTAAGAACCTCATTTACAGTCAGTGTTTCTCATCTTGGTTTGAGTTAGTAACTCCTCATGTGTTCATACATTGACCAGGCTTTGGTGGAGATGCGACACTTGGTCAGATCTCCAGAGTCGCCTCCTAACGCTCCTCCTGAGTGTCTCCAGACGCCTCCGGACACCAGCGGAAACTCCCTGAGACCCTTCTACACGGCTCAGAAACCCGCGTGTGGCTTCGGCTTCTCCTGGCACACGGACCACAGACGCAAACGCAACGACCTGCAGGCCTGTAACCCGGTGAAGTGGAGGAGCCAGTGCGTGTACAAACCACAATAAACCTGCACTCACCTACCGCACACTACCTGTGTCGCTTCACTCAGATTTATATGCTTATTTATATTTGATGTTTTCATTATATTTGATGTTTTCATTATCAAACATTTTATAAGGTTGTTACTCAAAAACTTCCCTGCAAGGTTTGGAGAACATAATGGTTACAAAATTAACTTTTCCCCCAGAACGTTATGAATTGTTTGGAATTATATATTTAATTATTTGGAATTGGTTCACAAATAATAACCAAATGGGAACCATGTGCTAATGATAGATAGATAGATAGATAGATAGACAGACAGACAGACAGACAGACAGACAGACAGACAGACAGACAGA